TGCATCCACTTCTTTTTTAATCTCTTTACCAGAATCATCATTTTTATTGAATAATAAATGTCGGATGAACAGTGTTCAGTAAATATGTGGAGTTTTATGTGTTGGATTTTCTACTAATATCACAGTCTCTCTCTCTCTCTCTCAGTCTCTCGCTCTCAGTCTCTCTCTCTCTCAGTCTCTCTCTCTCAGCCTCTCTCTCTCTCTCTCGGTCTCTCTCTCTCTCTCACTCTCTCTCTCTCTCTCTTTCCCAACTATTTTGACAGCTGAACTTGATTTCAGGTTCAGAAAATATGTTACAGCTGTGGACGGCAGCGATGGCATCAGTCATCGTGAACCGGCAGCTGAAACGTCCCATGTCGTTAAGAGTCCAGGAGAAACAGTAACTGATTCACGCGTTCGTGTCTTTTGGTTCAAAGTCCATTTCCAGTAAAGTTGAACTCATCAGGCGACATCGTTGGTCCGGTGGTCCAGTGGTGAACTGGTGTGTCAGACAGGACCAGGTGACCATAATCACCTCTGGTATTTCTGAGTCCGTTCCTGCTGCATGTCCATCGCGGAGGCACAGTGGTTTCTATGCCAACACTGCCTCAGGGTTGGAGTGTCATGCAGAGTCAGCAGTGGTGAACGCACACAGTTGAACTTTTCCCAAATTATTTCCACTCTACATAGAGTCAGGCCTGAATTAAAATAATGACCGTATCGACAAACGACTCCTCTGTGAGTTTTAGCACAAAATCTAGAGCCAGAAATAATCGAAAGACTGAGACGTCAGATATTTGTTTTTTTGTCTTTGTCCTGATGTCTGATGATTGAACATATGAAAGAGAAACCAAAGTGGAGACTTTGTTGTAGCAGCATTTGTGGAAATGGAGTTTTGTATTTCAAATGTTTCATTCCTGACGTCTGGATGATGACGTGTGACACATTTATAGAACAGAAGTCCCTTAAATATATAAACCAACAGTCGAGTTTCAACTCCTCACACACCAGGGACATGTACTGTGAGGTAATGTTAGTCCACCTGGTGTGTTTGAAGTGTTTTGGGGGTTTTTTTTTTTGGTTTTTTTTGTGGGTTTTTTTTTTTTTTTTTTTTTTTTTAATTGCAGTTTTTTTAACCATGTGTAAAGATCAATGTGGAAATCTAAAATTCCAAAATCCAGTGTTTTTTTTTTGTTTTTCTGCGTCTTAGAAACCATTTCTGGAAGGTTTTTCTTTAAGGATTAGTTCTCCTCATCAGTACCGAGTTCCTGGTTCTAATGTGATCAGACCTCATCTCTCAGGATCTGACTGAAGTTAGGTTGATGTTGACGACCATGAGGCGTCCATTTGTTCTGTAGACGTAAAGAGTCCTGACAAGAATAGCAGCAGGAAGTGTGTGTGTGTGTGTGTGTTGACTGACAATAAGCACAAAGTGCAGACAGACGCTGCTAGGATTAAATATCTTCCACGGACACACACACTGACAGCCTCTTAACATGCTTCCTCTGCACTTAAATCCTGCTGCTCCCCCAGGAGAACACTGGCTCTGTGTGTCTTATCTGTCTGTCTGTGTGTGTGTGTGGGTGTGTGTGGGTGTGTGTGTAGGTGGGTGTGAGGCCTCATCCATTACGCCCCAAATGTGTGTCGGTCATCCCACACATGCCCACTCACAGATTAGTCACGGCCCCATTAGTCAAATAACTGTTGCTGTTAAACCTACGGAGCAGAGTGGTCTCATCATCATCGTCATCATCATCATCATCATCATCATCATCATCATCATCATCATCATCATCGTCATCATCATCATCATCGTCGTCCCTGAGACGTCTGTACATTCACTCAGCTTTTAAAACATTCCCATTCCAAAAACCCATGTTTGCGAGTGTGTGTGTCATCATGTCCGAAACCAAACCGACTTCACGACCGCAGTAATAATTTCGTGGCACAAACATGTAAAGAGTGTTCTCCGACCTTGGCCCTGCCTGGTTCTATTCACAGCCCACTTTAATCATCCAAAATCCAATTTAAGAAAAAGAAAAAATGCTGCGATGCTTCAGATCCGTTCTGCGGGGTTGACAGAAAGTAACTGCTTTTAATTAAAAATTCATAAACATATAAACCAGGCCTGCGTGGAATCAAATTTCCTGGGGCTGGTTGAACATTGAGTCCCAGAAAAAAAAAAAAAACTCTTCAGAAAGTCTCAACATAAGAAGTCGTTTGTTTTTTCTTGTGTTGGGCCTGAAGCCAGGCTCTGATAAAGGAAGTAAAGAAATCCTCCCCGTTCTCATGAGGTCAAACGATGACGACGTCTCCACCTCTGGACCAGTGAGCCTCAAAAATGTTTGATAAATGTTTCATAAGGGTCTGGTCTTAATCTCAGGGTTGTGGGTTTAACATCCTGTTCATTAGGACATGTAATTAATGATCTGTGATTTACATCAAACACAGCAGCACCGTATGTCATGTTATTAAAATTGGTCGTTATCAGGGGTTAAAAGTAGGTTGTGTTTGGAGGGTTGCTGGTTTGAATCCTTGTCGAAGAAGCAGAAAAAAAATGATGTCAGATGTCACTGATTGAAGACATGTTTCATTTGTTTTTTTAATTGTTTTCATTTGCATTTGAATTTTTTATGTCCGATCTTCTCGTCTCCAAATTGATTTATTTTAAGCAACATTTTCATTCCTTTTCATTTTCCTCATCATTTTTCTTTCATCCTCTTTTGTCTTTTTTCAACCGTTCTTCGTCGTCTTGTGTTCAGACGTCACGTTTCGTCTCCTTCTGTTGACCTTCTCCTTCCTCCTCCTCCAGATTCTCCCGTCCCTCCTGGATCTCAATCAGAACCGCAGCAAACTGAAGCTGTACATCAGTCACCTGACCTCCCTGTGTCAGGAGCGAGACCCAGTCATACTGCAGGACTTCGCCCCGCCCCCCGCCTATCACCGCTCTGTCCCCGCCTCCTGGCACACGCAGCTGCACAGCATGACACGGGAACAGGTAGGACATGTGTGCATGACTTTTCTGAAGAAAAAACAAAAGTCTCTCTTTCTCACACACACACACACTCACACTCACGCACACATATGTGTGTAATTGCGATGATGTGCTCGTAGGAGTCAGACACACCAGTCAGCCTGGCAGATTGTTGGCACAGTGTGTGGACATTATTGAACAGATTTACTCTGGTGGGTCACCTGACGACAAGCAGCTGGCAGACGAAGAAATGCAGTTTGAGACGTTTTCTTTCTCAGGGAATAAACCCTGCGTCATGTGTTTGGCATCTGAACGTCGGCCGGTTCATAAAGAGAAGGAGGATGAGAGAGAAAGGAGAGTGTGTTTTTTTTTTTTCTAACCGTTGAAAGTCATCTGAGAAGGAGAGAGAAAAGGGAGAAAGTTGTAGACAGTGAAGACTCAGGCTGGGGTTTCTATAAAATGAAAGTATTTTGACTAAAACCTACGTTAATGTGTCGACTAAAGGTCATTGCGTTATTGAAAGGTCACCTGTTTTTGGTCAATTTGTGAAGATGTCCAGTCATGACGTTGTCATTGGCAGTGCTTTATCGTCTGTTTTCTTCTAAATGGTCTCATGAATCACACTCACCTGAACTTAGTCACGTTTCCTCCAGAAAAGTTGCCTCATTGCTTGATATACGTCGTTCCTCCCGTCAGGATTTTAGTCGGAACCACAGACGATGTCCTCTGACTTACAGTAAACTCCTGGAATACTGACCTGACCTTGTTCTTTGTTTGTGACTGCATTCTTCAGGTTTCGTTTTCTCAAACACTGCACCTTTCTTCAGTTTTGTTCAGATTTCTGTGTCAAAAATGTTTGCGAAGATCAGAAAATACACAAACAAACAAATAAAACAGGAGACTTCTTCCTGGTTTTTCCTTGACGAGTCACAATGCTTGGACTCCTGACTGACTCAGACAAGGACTAGGACTCAGACTCGGACAAGGACTAGGACTAGGACTCGGACTCGGACTAGGACTCGGACAAGGACTAGGACTTGACTACAACACTGGTAACAGAGAGATAACAGGGTAAAGATTTGTTTTTTATTAATGTTCAGTCAAATGAAATGCCAAATTGGGAGTTGTGCGTCAATGAAGTGACCTCTGACCTTTGACCTTTATATATTTTCCATTGCGGTTTTCACGATTTTTATGGACTCACTAACCTTTCTACCTCTTTTCATTGTTACTGTAAAATTTTAAGGCGATATTTAAGGATATATATTTTTTATTTTTTTGTGTGTTTTCATTCTGGTTTTCACCACTATTTTTTATTGACTCACTAACCTTTCTGCTTTTTTTCATTCTTACTGTAAAAATTTAAGGCAATATTTAAGGATATATTTTTTTTATTTTTTTGTGTGTTTTCATTCAGGTCTTTTCTGTAGACAAAATTTAGAACGCACATAAACAGACTGAAGGAAGACGACTTTTACAGAAAGTTAAAGTCATTACTCCGCTCGGCTGTAGATCTGTGTTTTAGATACTTAATACTGTGTACATTCAATTAGATTTTCCCTGCTGTCGTCGCTTTGTCGCTGTCTCTCTCTCTCTCTGTCTCTCTCTCTGTCTCTCTCTCTCTCTGTCCTTCCCTCCACATTGAAAACATATCAGCAGATGCCTGCTCCATGTGGTATACATTGAAATACGGTAACTCTAGACCCACACAGAGTCGGAGTAATGTGACAGAGTGTGTGGTGAGGCTGCAGCAGGACTCGTTTCCTGCTCAGAGCCCTATTGTGCGCCTCGGTGCTGCGGCGTGTCTACGTTTGCCTCGGATGTGGAGCTGCACGGTTTGGTGTCGCTTTGGATAAACTGCGAATTAAGCTGTCATTTATCATCGTGTGCATTAAAGGCACAGAGAAATGATGTCCGTGACGTCGGCGGACGGACAATTACAGCGCGTATTTTTCATCATCAGTCCGTATCCCCGTAAGAAAAGGCAGACGGCGTTCTGCGGTTCGCAGGAAAAACATTCTGTGAATCGAAGTTGATTTTTTTGCGCAGCTGTGAAAGCTTATCTAACAAGATTGAACGCTCTTTGTCAGCCAGCGGAAAAGCCTGCAGTATTTTATTCTTGCCTCGTGTTTATTAAAACATCCGAGATCACTGAAAACATTTGCACCGAAATACACCCGCGACCACATCCAAGTCAAATTTACAGCAGAGGAAAACACGGTGTGTCGTACTGCTGCGTTCGACCACAAATCACCTACGCCTCACTTTAGCGCCGACCATTTTCGCGGCACGTCGTAATGTTTTGAATTTTTCGGTTGATTTTCTTGTTTTCTGCACATTTGTTTCCCTGCACGGGTTGAAACCGACTCAACCATTACAGAAAACACGGCGTCTGCCATTACTGTTGAGGTTATCCCTGCACGGAATAATGCGATGGTAATGTATCCTCTTACCGGGGATTTGGCAGGGTCTCTCATTATTCTCCATGTGGCTCCTTCCAAATTGACTCGTGCGCAATTTCTCATCGCCGCCACCTCTGGGTTGGAGGCGCAGCCCTGCATGACTTCAATTACGGAGACACATGGAAAATTTCAGACAATAACAGAAATTCAATTCCATTCAAACAACTTCATTAGTCCCACGAGAAGAAATTAAATAAGAGCGGCGTGGTGACACGGAAACACAAAAACAAAGCACGACAAAACACTCCAACAGCCAGGTAACATGCAGCAGGAGCTGTTAAAAAACACATCAAATGTGAGGAGGCCATTTAAATAACAACATAAAAATACATTAGTACAAAAGGCATTAAAACTCCATAAAAGGCCAGGTTGATGTTTTCATCTGTTGTTTAGTTACGATGACATTCTAGCAGATTCTACTGTTTGGAATCCATGTTTTAAAAAAAAAAAGAAAAGAAAATCACAGCGTGTTGTGATGTGATTGGATCAGGCTTTGAAGAGTTGAACAAAACCTCAATATGACAGAGTAGATATTGCCAGGAAAACACTCAGTACTCCGAGGGGTATTACTTCATTTAGCCCAGACCAGTTCTGGGTCCTGCTGCGTTCAAATTTAAAAGTACTTATGTAAGGGATTACTCCATTATTCTGGAGTAGACCAGTACTCAGTGGAGAACATTCTGGTTGTCTCGCCCCAATAGTCCACTTACCGTTGAGTAGTGAACCAAAGCCAACTCCTTATTCTGTCCGTTATCTGAATTCAAACCCAGTTTAATTGGGTTCTTTTTTGGCTGCGACTCTGTAACTACAGAAAGTGCCTTTAATTAAAGCTCCTTCAGTGGGTTCCACACAAAGGTTCTTAAAAGTAAAAGAACCGAGACATTGCTGAAAACACGAACGTCCTGGATGGAGAAACAGTCAGGTGAAAATCAGCGCCACGTTGATTTAGTCAGAATCATTTCTCTCTTCACGTTCTTTAATCCTCTTCATCACATCTGCCAACACTTTTGGATTCCTCCTATTTCATCTGGACCCCCCTACCACCCCCCCCCCCCCCCCAAAGACGGTCCTTCTTTCACCTCACAGTTCTTCCAAAGTGTCTGCGTCTCCGTCAGCCCTCACTCTCACCTTCTCCATGTCAGTGTAGGTGTGACAGACTACAGAGATTTTTGCTCCGTTTCTCGGCGATGGTTTTTCCCATGAAAAACATCACACTTGGACTGAGTCTCTCCTCTATTTTCACTCTCTCCGTCCAAATCCACCCGTGCTCCGCCACTGCCACTTGGCGCCATGTGTCTGCTTCAGACCCCGACCCTGCACACACACACACACACACACACACACTGCCAGTCTTTCACTCAAGCCCATGTTTCTCCTTTTCCTTCATGTGTCACCATCACCCCGACTGACCCTCAGAACACACACACACACACACACACACACTCACACTCAGATTCCCTCCAGACCACCATGTTCCAGTTGTGCCAGCTTCTCTGCTCTGTCTTGTGGCGAGTGTGTGTGTGTGTGTGTGTGTGTGTGTTTAACAAGCTCTGTTAAAATGCCTGGCACTCTGTAAAGTCATTAGGGGGCGCACCAAAATAGCATGTTAAACACACACACACACACACACACAGATCTAGACAGAATACACGGTGGCGGCGGTGGCGAGTGTTCACCAGAGCGCCGCCGTGTTCCTGCCGTGTGTGAGCAGCTCCGTGACATCACTGACACGGTGTCTGATGTGTGACTGTTCTGGACAACTGGAGCAGGAGCTGCAGTTTGGACTCACGCTGGAGGACAGAGGGAGGACAGAGGGAGGACAAAGGCTGACGTTAGTGAACGTCTCCTGTGAGAGACGAGTCGTTGCACTGACGACTGATGACTGACGACTGACGACTGACAGATAAAGGAAAGAAAAAGTTCATAATAATAATACACTCGTCCCTCGCTGTATCGCGGTCCGGCTGTTGCGCCCTCAGTTCATCGCGGGTTTTTAATATTTTAAATGTGTTCTTGAATTGCGCATTTTCACTTTATCGCAGGTTTTTGCGGTATATAAAAATTTTAAAATTTCATTATTTTTGTAATAAAATAAAATTTTCTAGCCTAAGAAGGAAAAAAACTGTAAAAAAAATTAATTAAAACACATTTTCTAACACGTACCTATAGGGTATTGCAAGGTACAACCTGTAACCAGACCAACAGGACCATTTAGGTCATCCCTAAAATAAATAAAAATAGAACGGGTGGTAGAACTTTTAGTTACCAGGCTCCTCTCCTGTGGAACCAGCTCCCACTCTCAGTAAGAGAGTCAGATTCTGTCTCGTCCTTTAAAGTGAGACTCAAAACCCATTTGTATAGTATAGCCTATAGCCTAAATTAGATTAAACATGCCCCGACTAGAACAGTCTAAATCACTTTATCGCAGGTTTTTTGCGGTATATAAAAATTTTTAAATTTCATTATTTTTGTGATAAAATAAAATTTTCTAGCCTAAGAAGGAAAAAAACAGTAAAAAAAATTAATTAAAACACATTTTCTAACACGTACCTATAGGGTATTTCAAGGTACAACCTGTAACCAGACCAACAGGACCATTTAAAGTGACACAGATTGTAGCTCGTGGCTAACATTAAAGCCCCGGTGTCTGCTCTCTGACCTGGTTGGACGTTTGTCTCTAACTACCTTTCGTACAGCAACGTTGAAGTCACCCTTCGTGTCAATTTGGCAACTAACTCGGCAACTGTATAAATCCAAAGGGCAATTTTCCCACAAACCTCTCAGAGAGTTCTGACCGTGGTCCAGAGCCCGGTTAACTGGACCTGACCTGCTGTTTTTCTGGGCTGTCAGGTCAGGATATGGCTTCAGTGGGATTGTGTCACTGGTTCCACCACTCGTGGCTCTGGTCTTGGTTGTGCAGAACGTGCGAGGTTCTCTAATAGTCCCAGTGGAATCACTGGAACAGCAGCGAGTCCAGTTTAGAGAGATGACATTTTTCAAAAGTGTGTTTGTTTCCATTTCTCTCTTCAAATTGAGCTGAACTACAAAAGTTCCAGAGAGGCCAATGGTGAGGTTTCTCTGTGAGAGCTGTTTTCTGTGCTTTGGTCATAATAATAACCTTTACAGCTCACTGATGTCTTTAATGAGCACTGAAGAGAACTGGCATCTCACACACACACACACACACACTCACACCACAGTGGGACACATGAGGAAGTTCCTCGTCTTTCTTGTTGGCTGTGCACACACACACACACACACATCTACACTGATTTGTATGTTCCATTGTGGAAAACCTGTTAAAGTTCATTTTATTGTAAATGTAAATGCACATATACGTATGTGTGTGTTTTCTGCCCCAGCAGACGTCTTAAGTGTTATTGGCCGAGTCCCGGTCCTTACAGCGCCGCTCTATGAAACCGGTATAAATCGTCCGCCCGCCGTAGCTCTACTGTATCTGCGAGAAAAAAGAAAAAAAAAAGTGAAACAGCTCCCAGTGAGTGAGTGCGAGTGTGTGAGAGCCAAGTCAAACTGGAGGAAACCTCAGTGAAAGCTGAGCTCACATATTTACAGCTCCACATGTCAGTGTAATGAAGGAAAATACCACACAATTACAGACTTCAAATGTCATTGTTGTTACAGTGTAATCTCCAAATGCACGGCTTCTCAGAGGGGAGACGTTGGTCGATGCGTTACTTTATTACTTTTTTGGCTTATATTGCGCGTTTTTTTTTTTTCCAGAGAAAAGAGCTACTGTTAGTTTAAGTCAAGAAAACAGGACTGATGTTCCTGCTGCTGCTGCTGCTGCTGCTGCTGATGTTACTGCTGCTGCTGCTGCTGCTGCTGCTGC